CTGGAGATGGGCAACATAATGAAAAAGAAGTGAGAATTTGGTTAGGTCCGGAGACCAGAGCTGTGCCCAGGAAAATGGCTTCTGGAGGACTTTGGGTGCCCCTGTGAACATTAGGAGCAGTGAAATGACCATCTCCTGAAGGTTCCCTCAAGTGGCTGATGGACAGCTGGGCCCCAGCTGTGCTTCTGGAACGCTGGGATCACAACCCACAACCTTGCCCTGAAGGAGACCAAGCAAAGGGAAGCAACTCTAGCCCTTTGGCCCTTGATTTGGTGAACAGAAGGGGTTTCCAGGCTCGAGGGTGGGGGACCAGAGAGGACGCTAATGGCATGGAGACAGGTAGGTCAAGAGCATGGCCCTGCACGCAGAGTGTCTAATTCTTGTGGGCTTCTCACGCTGGCTGGGCTCTTGCTCTCACCAAGAGCCCCGAAGTTACAGGGCAAAACCTCAGGTCCGCCCGAGGGTGCGCTTGGGGCACGCCCCCCCTCCCGCCCAGATGTCACTCCCTATTTGGATCTCGAGGTGAGCCTGACACTGCCCACTGCTTCCAATCATTAGTCTGGGTGGGACACTTTAAATATGCGTATACACGTCGCGTTGTTTGACTCAGGACCAGTCCAGAGGGAGGGAGGCAGTATCTATATAAACGTGCTAAGGGCAGATGGAGAAGTGTTAACCGAGTTGCAGGAGAGAAGGTGGTGGGCAGGGGTCTGCAGCCCCGGGAATCCCAACAGCAGTTGGCAGCGCTGGTAAGTTGTTTCAGCCTCGCTCGCTCGCAGCTTTACATCAGGAGCGCGGATCGAGAGTGTAGAGGCATTCCGGAGGCAAACCGCCCACCATGAAGGGGCTGGCACTTTTTGACTGCAATGGGGAAAATGTTCTGGGCCTCCAGCTTTGAAGAAGGCGAATTCTCTAAGTGCTCAGGATCACTGACAGTCTCGTTTTAAGAGCGGAAGCCTTGCATGAATTTATTTATCTCTGGCTTGGTCCCTAACCCGGGACTTTTCTGGACTGCATAGGAGAGCTCTGCACAGTTCTTGAGCCCTCTGCCCTCCCAGTGGCCTAGCCGTCCCCAGCCTCCCCGCCCCGGCAGACTCGCCATGCTTTCTTGGGGGTTGAGCTGTCTGTCCATGCTGGGGGCTGCGGGCACCGCTCTCCTGTGTGCCGGTGTGCTGCTTGGCCTAGCCCAAAACCTGTGGACCCTCCGCTGGACGCTGAGCCGGGATCCGGCCTCAACCTTGCCCCTACCCAAGGGCTCCATGGGCTGGCCATTCTTGGGTGAAACGCTGCACTGGTTGGTTCAGGTGAGTAGTTTTATCATTCAGCAATGCCCCCCTTTTCTGCATCTCCCATCAGAAGCTCTTGGTTCTGGGTGCACTTGCTAAGCAGACCCTTTCCCAGGATTTCTGAAACCCTCGCCATTGCATAGCTTTCTAAGAGACGCCATGTCACCGAAGTTCTAAGCATATTTTGGGTGTAAACTAGGGGCCTACGGAGGGATCGGAGGAGCGTGGTACCTACCTTGCAAGCACAGACTGAAAAGCGGAGCCACATCTCAGCCATGCTCCCTTAGGCACCCACATTCCCAATCCAAGCCCCTATCTCACTTTACCAGCGGGCGTCTACATTCCCATAGAGTACCTGAGAGGTCCCTTTGGAATCTCGTTTTGTAAGTAATGTGTGACAGCCTGGGACAGGGGAGTTGTTAAGAAGAGGCAGCTGGGATGTCTGGGACAGATCTTCAGCCCCGCTGGCCCAGCGGCCCTTCAAGCTCCGCCTTGCTTGCAGGGCTCTCGTTTCCACAGTTCCCGCCGCGAGCGCTACGGGACAGTGTTTAAGACGCATCTTCTGGGCAGGCCAGTGATCCGCGTGAGCGGCGCGGAGAACGTGCGCACCATCTTGCTGGGCGAGCACCGCCTGGTGCGTAGCCAGTGGCCGCAGAGCGCGCACATTCTGCTAGGTTCACACACACTCCTCGGCGCGGTTGGCGAGCCCCATCGACAACGGCGTAAGGTGAGGGGAAAACCAAAGGAACTTAAGATCGATCCATCCATGGTGCCTGGGTTCCTGCGGTAGCCTGGTGTTCGGTATACTCAGAACTTGACTAGGGTCCCTGCTAAGGGAACAGGTGACCCGAGGCAAGTCTCCCTATATTTCCGGGTTTTGAATTGTAAAACAAGGGCAGGGCTACAAATCCTTTATTCCAGATCTTCTGTGACAGGTGCTAGCAGGTTTGGGGCTTCAGATTTAAGCGGGTTCAGGGAAGACTTTGTGGAGCAGCTAACATTTGAAGCCTAGATGGATGGGAGGGACTCCGTACATCAAAGTGGAGGGAACCAAGCCAGCAAGTTTAGGCCTGTGCGGCTCAGAAGAGGAAGAAGGGACTGGACTTTGCCTTTAGGCTGCGGAGTCGCGGAGCCCAAGAGGCCAGCCTGCCCTGCGCTCGCTCAGCTGCGCTCCCTACAGGTCCTGGCGCGCGTGTTCAGCCGCCCGGCTCTGGAGCGATTCGTGCCGCGGCTGCAGAGGGCGCTGCGGCGAGAGGTGCGCTCCTGGTGCGCCGCCCGAGGACCAGTAGCTGTCTACGGGGCGGCCAAAGCACTCACCTTCCGCATGGCCGCGCGCATCCTCCTGGGGCTGCAGCTGGACGAAACACGATGCACCGAGCTAGCCCAGACCTTTGAACAGCTAGTGGAGAACCTCTTCTCATTGCCCCTGGACGTGCCTTTCAGTGGCCTGCGCAAGGTAATGCTGCCCCAGACCTTAGTCCATAGCTCCAGAGGGTCTCCCAAACCAGACGAGGTACCCCGGACCGAGGGCGTGGCCCAGCGTAGGGTAGTGTGATGGTTGGTGGAGACCAGGGTTGCATTTTTTTCGGACTCCGTGTGACATGGGCAGGCCACACGTCGTTAATGGGATGCTCTTGATTCACACTCTCGCACCGAGTAGCCTTCTTGAGTTTGGGTCTTAGTGGTAGGCATCCAGGAAGGGGTTGCCTACCTTCTCAAAGTGGCGCCGAATCTCCAGCACCCTTTGGAAGGTTGGCACTGCGGAACGTTGGGGAACCGAAGGGCGCCAGACGAAGCCCGGCGCTGGGTCTGGTCTAGGGGATGGGTGTCGGCTCCCAACCCACCGACCAGGGCTGGTTTCCGGATCAGAAAAGCAAGACTTTTTTTGAGTAATGGGCGGGGCCCTAGAGCTGAAGGAAGCTGGGTCCTGCCCCTCCCCCTCTTTCTGCCCTAGAGCGTTCAGTCGCTTGAATAAAAATAATAATCTGTAAAAGAATCTTGTGTGCTGGTTACCTTGCATACATTTTCTGGTTTAGTCCCTGCAACCTGCAAAGTGTTATTCTCATTTTATTGGCAAGCAGGTCTCTTTGAAGTCACGAGACAAGAACACAGTCAAGATTTGAACAAGATACTTCTGGCTACAAAACTCAAGTGTTGGCTTTCAGGATGTTTTGGCTGGGCATGCTTCCTTCTGAACTCTGCCGAGCCATCCTTTCCCCCTTTGCTCAACCCCCTGATGGAAGCTAACGTTTAGAATATACAATAGTGTCCTCAGTGGAGTTTCCCAGGTGCCCCTTTTTCTTAACACTGATTCTCATTACCTGAGCACAGGGAAAGGGTAATAGCTAAGTGCACCTCCATGGTTCTGTGCCAGGAATGGGCACTAGCCGCTGTGTGAGGGAACAAATGTTTGACCTCTCAGTGCTTTGTGTGACATTAACTGCCTTGCCAGAGGAGGCTGGTGATGATTATCAAGACAGAGTACTGTTTATAGACAGTGAACAAATCTATGACCGTTTCTTGAGCCATGCCTGCTTCCAGCTAGGTGTATAGCTAAGCTGAGACTCACATCAGGATCTACCCTTCAGCCTTCCTACCCCATCTGCCCTCTCTCCCCGTACATCAGGGCATCCGGGCCAGGGACCAGTTATATCAGTACCTGGATGAGGCGATTGCTCAGAAGCTTCATGAGGAGCAGGCAGCAGAGCCAGGTGATGCCCTGCACCTGATCATTAACAGCGCTAGGGAGCTGGGCCATGAGCTCTCTGTGCAAGAGTTGAAGGTAGGTGATGGGAGGCCACTTCTCCCTCCCCCCACTTTCCTTCCCCAGAGATCCCCCCACACCCAATCCATTCCCAGTCATGTCCTATTTCACACCATTTGGAGGCTCAGGCACACCTCAGGGTGAAAAAGAAGAGCCCTGGGTTCCAGTCATGACTCTGTCAACATCTGCCAGCTATGACAGCTTGGACTGTAGCCGTTCTTCCAGCAGCATCAAAACCTAAGTCTGGCATTACAGGTTCTGGATCTAGTTATCCCTCCTCTTGGCCCCTCACAAACCCCAAATGGTTCAGGAGAGAATGATCTATAGACTTGGAGTCCCGGGGAATTGAGCGCTGGAGACAATGCTGGTCCATGAAGAGAGGTAGCATGGACAGAAGTGGTAGTTTGTGTTTTGACAGAACTAGGGAGTAACAAGGCCCCATAGAAGGGACCCGTTGGTCAAAGTGGCCAGGCAGGATGTCTGGACTCTGGAGCCTCCATCTCAGCTGCATTTTGTCCAAGGTAGGACCAGCAGTTGGTCTCCAACCAGTTCAGATTTCACTCCTCAAAGATTCTTATGTACCTGTTTAACACCAGATTTTGTGCTGGGATACAGAGTGGGTGCATTCTGTTTCAGAGAATAGGGTATGAGGGTGGCATACACTCACCTTCAGGTCACTGAAGACCGCATGCAAATACAAGCACTGCTGCTGCCCTGAAGAAAGTTACTGGAAGGGCACTTAGGCAGGTGGTGGGGCCTGAGAATGTCCTCAGCAAAGCAGGGCAGAAAAAGTGGCCTTCCTGGCTTTGGAGCAAGACTGGTACTGGGCTGCAGGTGCCTTGTCTGAAGCATCATGGGTGTGTCCGGGTGGGGGAGGGGAGAGGGAGGGAGGGAGAGAGAGCCAAAGACACACAGAGAGACAGAGACAGACTCTCATTGCAGGAACTACTAGCTCTAGGGTCTTGGAGCACTTCCCAGAGTCTCAGTTTCCAACCTTATAAAGTAAGAGCAGTAATTGCTCCCCACGGGGTGAAGGTGAGAATCTAACGAGTTATTATATTTAAAGCACTAAAATAATGCACAGAATAATATCTCTGTATCACCTCTGAGAGCTCGTTCAAAGCGGGCGTGTGCAGATGCTGGTCTGCCTATTGTCCAAAACGACTTTCCTAAGTGAGTTTTGACCGATTTCAGAGCAAGTGAGTATAGCCGCCAGGGCCGGACATGAAGGCGCTAGTCTGCGCACAGGAGATAAGTTTGGACGCTTTTCACAGTACATTCAGAGCCGCCGGACTGTCTTGCAGGAGTCAGCTGTGGAGCTCCTCTTCGCCGCCTTCTTCACTACGGCCAGCGCCAGCACATCGCTCATTCTGCTGCTTCTGCAGCACCCCGCGGCCATCGCCAAGATCCAGCAGGAGCTGTCAGCGCAGGGGCTGGGGCACGCGTGCGGCTGCGCACCCCTGGCCACGGGGCCCCGACCTGACTGCAGCTGTGAGCCGGACCTTAGCCTGGCAGCGCTGGGCCGTCTGCGCTACGTCGATTGTGTAGTCAAGGAGGTGCTTCGCCTCCTACCGCCTGTGTCTGGGGGCTACCGCACTGTGCTGCGAACCTTTGAGCTGGACGTAAGTGCGCCGCGCTGTGGGGCCTCTGGATGCTTGCAGCGGCGCTGGGGTGGGAGGAGGGCAGGGAGACCAGCACAGAGATCTCTTTCCCTTGCCAGGGCCTTAGCTTTCCTTCCTGGAAAATTGGCTGAGCTCTATACTATTCCCCGGACTCTGCTTCCTCCAACTCCAGTAGAGGGATACAAAGCTTGGTGCCTGAAGAGCTGTCAAAGTTAGAAATTTTATATATAGTATATCTAAGTAGAAATGCTTATATAAAGTATGTAAGTATATAACTCAGCTTTTGTCAGCGATCCCGCTAGTTTTAGAATGCAGACGTTTTTCTCTGAACCGCACTCCTTGCAAAGTGTGTGGCTAGAAAGGGAAGGCGGTACACTACTTCTTTATTTAATTCCGTCATTAAACTAAAGAACCAGTCATTGTCACCTGTCCAGGCCTGGCTCTTAGGCCATGTACCTGGGAAATGCAACAGCCTTAAGACAAAGAACAAAATCTTAATGGTTTCATCAGGCTGCCCTTGACTGGACAAGGTTAAGAACTAGGCCTGACCGAATCTGGAAATAATGTGGACAGGTCTCCCTTTACTGTGGATCTCCGTTTATCCTCTGGGAGGACTTTGGTTTGGTTCTTTTTTTGCAGCTCTGATACTCCCCAGGAGGCTGGGGGTGTTTAATGAATTAATGAATTGGCAGCTTTGGAAATTGGGGAATTCGCACTGCAAAACTTGAGGGTCTTTGCCTGAATGGCTTTGCTGCAGTACCTTGGGAGGGGTGGTATTGAAGAGGGGGACTCCATGAGGAGGGAGGGACCAAGACTATGGAATGAAGCAAGGAGATTTCTAGGGTTGGGTGATAGCAGCCAAAGGGCTGGAATGTGAAGTGTGTGCCACTGGTGTGTGTGTGGGGGGGGCTGCCAGTCAAAGGTTGGCACTCAAGTGACTTGGGTGCTTAAACTTGAAGCTGCAGTGCTGGTGTGCCCAGTAAATGATGAGAGCCGTGGAGGACGGGGCAGCTTCCAGGGCTGTAAGTGGAGCACAGGGAAGGTCATCCTTGTCCTCGTCCTTCTCCTTCGTCCTCGTCCTGCTAATCCTAGTCCTTGTCCTAGTCCTCCTCCTCCTCCTCCTCCTCCTCCCTCCTCCTCATCCTTGTCCTCTTCCACTGTGCAGACAGGACACTGAGGACTAGGGAGGGCGATTCCGATGTGAGAACCTGAATAGTAATGACCCTCCACAGGCTTCAGAAAACTGCAGTCATCGGAGGGGCAGGTGGCGTTGTAGTCAGGGATCGGAAGACACGTGAGAAAGCTAAGAGGCTGGGAATATAGGACAGTGGCAGGCTGGGAATATAGGACAGCGGCAGGCACGCTCTCCTAGTGTGAATGAGGCCCTGGGCTTGCAATACCTAGCAGGGAGCAAAAAGAGGGCAGGACGGTTGGGAGGGTGGGAGCATCTTCTCAAGTATAACCACAAGGTCGTGTTACTGTGTAGAGGTGAGTGGGAAGGCGGGGTGGTCCTCAGTTAAATGCAAAGGAGAGTTTTACAATTGAACTGTCCCAGAGGAGGAAAGGGTTCCCTGCTTCAGCTACAGTCTTACAATATGTCTCCTGTGACAGAAGAAAACAGGAGGAGAAAGACAACAAACTCATAACATTCCGTTTCATGGGCACTAATGTGTGCCAACCTCCGTTTGAAATTCTCTCAACAACGTGGATATTTTTTATTCTTATTTTCTCAACTAAAAAAAAATGGGGGTGGGGTGGGAGGGGCGCAAGCATTTCAAGATCTTACAGCTCATTAGTGAAGACACTGAAACTGTAAAGCAGATCCTTTAGCTTCAGACTTAGTTAATCACGGGCCCCTGGAGGTTTATTCGGCGCGTCTGGGTGCGGGGGATGGGTGGGGAATTGGCTCTGGCCATTTCGCGGTGCTTAGCGATCACGACGGCCCCCTCACTTCTCAGGGCTACCAGATCCCCAAAGGCTGGAGCGTGATGTATAGCATCCGAGACACGCACGAGACAGCTGCTGTATACCGTAGCCCGCCCGAGGGCTTCGATCCCGAGCGCTTTGGCGTGGAGAGTGAGGACACGCGGGGCTCCTGCGGCCGCTTCCATTACATCCCCTTCGGCGGCGGCGCGCGCAGCTGCCTGGGCCAAAAGCTAGCACAGGCGGTGCTGCAGCTGCTCGCCGTGGAACTGGTGCGCACAGCGCGCTGGGAACTGGCTACACCTGCCTTCCCGGTCATGCAGACGGTGCCCATCCTGCACCCAGTGGACGGGCTGCGACTCTTTTTTCATCCTCTGGAGACTTTGGGTGCGGGGGATGGGTTACACCTCTGACTCGCTCGCTGCTCCTTCTAGCCTTGGCTTGCCCTGTGGCTGCCGCGCACACCCAGTGCTGTTCATCTTCAGCGCCCTAGGTCCTCATGTCACGCACATTCACGGAGTCGTGTGTTTAACAAATGTTCACGGGACGATTTTGTGCTAGACTGGAAGGAGGAGTTGACTGAGTCACAGGCCCCGCATTGGAGATGCGCTGGGCTTGGGGAAGGAGCGTGCTGCGCGCTCCACACGTAGGCACTTGGCAAGATCTGAAGGAGTCAGCGGTGGAAAGAACCTATCTCCACTAGATGAAACCTGGCTTCACCTTTCCGTGGCAAGTCCCGCAGGGAACTTGAATGTGGGGCCCTGGCGGTGTGGCGGTGGTGATTGGGTGTACTATCAAACCAGAGGAGAATTTGCAACTTTTTTTTTTTTTTTTTTTCCGAGACAGGGTTTCTCTGTGTAGCTTTGGAGCCTATCCTGGCACTAGCTCTGGGGACCAGGCTGGCCTCGAACTCAAACTTACTTAGATCCGCCTGCCTCTGCCTCCCAAGCGCTGGGATTAAACGCCCGGTTTGCAACTTTTCTTTTCTTTTCTTTTCTTTTTTTTAAAGTTAGCAGAGATACCGGGTTGAGTCTGTGACATTGACCAAAAGGCACACCAGAGAGCTCTCAGCAATTGCCCTCAGGCTTATTGAGCCTTGGCAGAAATTAAGTACCCAAGTATGGAGGGTGGTGCTTCCTGGGCTCTAACTGGCTCAACCTCAGCAGATTCTGCTAGAGACTTCTGAAAAGAGAAATTCCTACTTCAATAATTTGTTAACATCCTCATTTATACAGAAGAGAATATGTTCTCTGGAGATGTCTCCTAAGTCTGGTCCATTCGAGGTTGAGACAAAATTTCTTCAAGGGAGATTGAGATAAACAAGACATTTTCCATATTTGTGCCAAAACAGGAAGGTCAAGAAATAACATTTCCTGCCGGTGGTTGAGTAAGGAGGCTGGGGGTCAGTTGCACAGCTGTCCCCGGGTGTGACAGCCAATGGTGGAGAGGGGTGGAATACAGAGACATACACTGTAGCCTGTACCCAGAGTGTCTGGAAGCTGGGCAGCCTCAGTCCCATGCCTCCGCGAATCTAGATGCTCGGTTTTGGATTGTTTTTGCAACATCAGCTTGCAGAATTGCTCTGCTGGCTGCTTCACTATTCTCACTATTACCAAGGAGGAACTGAGGATTAAGGAGAACAGTGACTCTCCTGAGGAGCCACTGCAGTCCTGCATCCCTTCTTTAGTCACCCAGTGCTCCCGCCCCATGCCCATGCCACCTGTGGGACTCAGACCTTTTGCTTTCCAGCACCCATCCCTAGCCTGTGTTAAGCACTGTCTGGCCTTTCCAAATCCCAAGGTTCCCACTACTGTTTAAATTAAAGCCATTATCATCCTGTCATCATCCCCCAAAGCCCATTTCAACCTGCCACCCACATTCCCACACTCCTGGGCAAGGAGACATAAGTGGCTAGCCCAGGAAGCTGTAACCTAGTCTGGGCTGACCCTGTTGTGAATCAGGAGGAAATTGGTGGCCTCCTGACCTTATGCTTAAAGTGGATCCTGGGGCCTGAAGGCAAGGGGGACATCAGTAGGTACTTGAAGGTGAGCAGCTGCTGGGGTTCATACCACCATAACCCCTACACAGGACAGTTAATCACCCATAGCTGGTCAGAGGAAAGGCCAGGTCCTGAGCTCTGCAGGCACCAGGGGGAGCAAAGGTATTATGGTGCAGGCCTACCACCTTGGAAATCTGAGAAATCTGGATCTGGATGAGGAGGCCAAAAGACCCTGCTTCAAGGTTGCTTCGAGTTTGGGGAGAAAGAAATAGGGAAGGTGCCTTTCAGAAGCCAGGACAAACTGGTTCAGAGAGACTTGTGTACTTGCTTTGTGGTCTGGACCAACTGTTAGCACATGGAAGTGACTCCAATTTTTCCCCCATTCCCCATTGTTGCATCATATTATTAGGCTCCTGGTTTAGCAACTGCAAGTTCTTAGGGAAAGAGCAGATGTAGTTCTTGCCCCTTGGACTTCTGATGTTCACAGAAAAAGGCAGACAATGAACAAACCAGCAATACAAAAGCAAAAACAAAGCAAACAAAATCCTAAGAATGCCCAGTGGTGAAAAGCATAGAGAAACTAACAGCAACAACAACAACAACAACAAAACCCAAACCCCAAAACAAAAACAAAACAGGCCTTTAACACAGAGTTAATCTAAATTCCGGCTATTAGGCAAGGGAACCCGTCTGAGGTGACATTGGCAGGGATTAGTCCACTTTGGCCTCGGTCCCCAGCCAGCATTGGGAACAGCAGCAGGTATGGACCCCTGAGATCAGAGGGAGAGGTAAAGGGGGCTGAAGGGAAAGCCCAGGAGCTTGTGCTGGCCAACTGATTCCTGCCACCTTTTACTCCACAAAAACAAAACAGTAGAAACAACCCAATCGCCACCACAAACCTGACCCCACAGCTCTGAACCCTTAGCAATAAGAAAACTGTTTGGCAAACATTTTGTTTCTTAGCGAGCCAACCTCCCCTTCCCCACCCTCCACCACCCAATAAAGTTTGGTGAAGTTTCTAGATCAAAGTTCTTATTAGGCTGGTAATTTATTGACCTCTCCCCCTTCAAGAAGTTTTTAAAGGATATTGCATTCTAAAATTTAATGTTTTCCTGCCCAGCGCTCCGCGGATCTTAATGAACAGTTAGATTTTTTAAATTTATTTTTTAAGTACTCTCTTTTTCCCTGTGGCCATTTACAGCGCGCTAGCCGGGCTCATCTTGTGACCCAGCGGGCATGTGTGCGCTGAACTTGGTAGGGTGGCCCGGCAGAGTTCACTGGGATGTCACGGTCCCGCCTGCAGGGGTCACAGGCGGGTCAGGCTAAAGGACTGGGAATGGGCCCCAGGTCACGCCCCCGCTGGCCGATTTTGCACACCGGCCGGAGGCGCTCTCCAGAAAGGGGCGGGCCGAGATTTCTGAGAATTACCTCCAGCACAGTCCGTCCGCGTTCCTGCCGTTGCAGGAGCTGCTTTGCAGTCCTTACAATAACCAAAACCAAATCATTATAAGATATGACAGCGGCAGCGCCCGCCTCTGAAACACTGAACAGAGTTATGAGGAACCACTGAACCCCGTAGGCATCCCGGCTTAGAGAGTTTTTTAGGCTTGTGAGGGTCCTCACGACCTTTGCACATATTTTGTGACTACCCCCCCGGAGGGGGTTGTCGTTTGGGGATCACATATTGATCAGCTTTTCAGAAGGCAAGTTGTTCATCTTCAATGGACTCTTCCCAAGGGGTGCTGGTGTGCTTGTGTTAAAGCCCGTGTTCCGTTCTAAACAAACACACGTCATTCTGTTTGTTTTCCGCGGCGCTGGTGAGTTCAGTGCCCAAACCAAGATAGTGTGTGCCACTGGCTGAAGTGATGTGAGGTAGATCACGGGAAGCCCTGTGTGTGTGTGTGTGTGTGTGTGTGTGTGTGTGTGTGTGTGTGTGTGTGTGTGTGTGTGTGTGTGGGGGGGGGTGTGGGGGGGTGGGGGG